AAAATAGCTAAAAGTACGTGATACATTGTATAGTGGCACACATCTGATTTTCTGCCCAGCGTATGTATATGGCAATTATAAAAGTACTCAGTATGGCTGTACTGTATTATATGGGACCCAAAATGTAATGTGACAAGTGGGTGTTACTTTGAAAAGCCCATATGCTTATCTACAGGAAAACTATCCTTTCGGGGATTAAAACCCATAACGATAATGAACGTATTGCTATTCATCATAACGCGAAACTCCAAATAACAACGTCCTATCTCTTTCAGAACGTGATAAAATCAGCGAATACAATCCTAAACGAGCAGTACACGAAACAATGGTCCCGTATCCGCGAGCTGACAGGTCACGGCATGGAACTTCTACTGCAACGGTTCGACAACTACATCGCAGTGCTAGCTGAGAGCCAACACGATACTTATACCAGTCCCTTCGAAATTGTCACTAGTGATCTTGGTGAGTTGTTTGTTTGATTTTGTGTTTTATAGATATGGTTTTACAATTTAAATTTGTACTTTTTTTGGCATTAAGCGGTAAAGAAGCAAGTGGATTACTGGTTGTGAGCCATCGGCGTCACCCATGGACACACGCAACGCCAGCTTATAAGTGCGTTACCGGCTTTTCAAGGATTGGGAATTTTTTTTAAGGGGGAAAATCATCGAATGACTTCTCTGGGTGAGGCGGGAGGGAGTGTCAGACTCTTACTGACTAAAAACCACCCCGTTCCTTCTCTTGTACGTCGAGCCGGACCCCGGTAACCCGTTAGGTTCTCCGCGACAAGGATTGGGGTTTTGGGGAGGAGTATTAGATCACTTCCGAAGCTGAATCTTCTAGAACTCTAACAGCCAGTCTCAATAACCTATCTGTCAGATGATTAAGACCAGCCAATTGTTATCAGCTCTCTTTATTCTTAGTTAAAGTAGCATCTTGATGACAATCAACTTAAAAAAATGAACTGTATTTAGCATGTAGCACACTAGTAGTTCAGTTTGATGAACCATTTTCAAAAGTGTTATTTAAAAATAGTGTCTGTAACAGCCATTTTAATTTCCAGTAATCGGCGTAGACATAGTAACAGCAGAATCGATATACGGCTTCGAACCGACTCAGCTAAATCGATACAACATCGATACCTACACGACCGAGCGAGTGGTTCTACCAGACACATCGTCCTTCATACATTCTCCCATACAAACTCCTATATACCACGCTAATGGGAAAATACATAAACATAGAAAACCTTCCAGTCCTACAGTTTCATTCCCAAAGTACAATAATTATGTGAAGAGTAAGAACAAGTTTGACAAATATACGAGGGTGCTGCTGCCTTTGGATCTACTTGGAATTACTAATAATAATATTCAAGGTGAGTTCATTTTAGTTTTAAACTAGCGACCTGCCCCGGCTCCGCACGGGTGCAATATGCATCTAGTACACATATAAACCTTCCTTAAGAATCACTCTATCTATTTAAAAAATCCACATCAAAATCCGTTGCGTAGTTTTAAAGATCTAAGCACATATAGGGACAGACGGCGGATAGCTACTTTGTTTTATATGTATTGATGTGATATGGATAGAGGTACCTTTTTACAACTGACTTTTTAGGACCCATGAATATTTCAAACAAAAACGTTTGGAATAGTTTTATACTACAGCCTTTCCATCTGTACTTCAAAATATACATGAGGAGTTGCGCAAAAAGTTGCTAAATGAAACAATTTTATCTGGTATTTTTTGTTATGTTCATAAACGCATCCCAGTTAGAAACCCCAGTGGGGGTTTATTGGGAAACAAGATATTTAAAGAAAATGAAAAAAAAAAGCTGACCCTTTAATTTTTTGTAGAAAACCTCGAAACAAACTACGAATCTCGCGCCGTATTCTCCTACCTCCAATACTCCCGTAACACGTCACAAATGATGCCTCTTCGGATGGACGAGTCAGTCAGTCAACGGTGGGGAGTCAACATCACTGTCGGCTCCCCCATCATACAGCTAGCACTGTTTGTACCGGAGTACGTATGGACTAAGGAGGCCAGTGAAGAGGATAATTCGCTTGAAAACAGCTTGGAGGATGTTGAAGGTATGTTGAATTGAAACACTAATATATGTTTGGCTAAAAATGTTTTCTCAAAAAATAGTTCTTTATGGGATAAGGAGAAAAATAAGCAGACGGATCAGCAATGATACCTAATGGTAAGCAATGAGCGTACCCCCTTAATACCAAAAACACCAGAAGCCTTTTGTGTGGGCGATTGGACCTCTGGTAACCTTACTCATATAGCGCTATATTTTTCATAATTATTTCACACCATGTTAATCTTAAAACCTCACTACTACACACAGGTATTGTCTATGCCAACAAAGGCAACCACCATCAAATGAACAACCACGTCAATCAGAACTCCCAACCGAAAAACACGTGGCCGCTCGACGACCCACAGATACAAGACAACCACGGCCCAGTAGTCATACAACCAACATTCAAAAAACAAGAGAAATCATACGCCAACGAAGATTTTCAAGAAAACGAATCGTCTTACGTCGAGGACAAAATAGAAACCAACGAAGGACCTAAAGTGATGGCGCTAGTGTCGGAAATGGGGAACTCTACTAAGGACGGTGGCAAAAAGAAGTTGATCTATAAAAGCTTGAGTGGCATTAGGTTGAAGAGACCCGTTAGACTGCAGATGTGGCTGGATATTGATCGGGAGACGTTTGGATCTAGGACCAACCCTCAATGCGTGCACTGGTCTACTTTTAGAGGGTGAGTTTTTCTTTTCATTCAGTGTTCATTTCAATTTATTACGTATACCTCCAGTAAACTAACAATGTGGAATTCAGATAAATTAATTTAAATTCTACTTATTTTCATTATCACGACTCTTCAAATATAAAAAAAAAAACAATCCTTCTTGATTTCGTCTTTTATATTTGGAGAAACTAATCACCCGGTTTTATCTCTTCAATTTCTCCTCACCTATAGATCTGGAGAATGGTCTCGAGTAGGTTGTCACACGGAGATCGACTACGATTGGTCCCCATACTCCAATGAACCGCTGCTTATCAACTGTACCTGCAACCATCTGTCCACCTTCGCTGTACTCGTTGATGAGGTGGATATTGAGGTAAGTACCTAAACAATTATCGACTTTATAAAATATTTTAAAGATATTGAGTTAGGAAACAGACAGGAAGCTCCTTTTTATTATTCAATATATTTTGTAGTGAGGTTTTATGGGTTGGGTACCAAGCAAGTACCTAATGTCAAAAATAAAATCACAATCAAGAGACTACTGCATATATGTATTGTTTTACATACATGACACTTTTTCAGTGACATAAAAAACCTTACAGTTCTCTTTGCTTGATCTTATCATTGACAAAAGTGAAGGCAAATGAATAACACTGGTCTCTTCTTCTACAGTTCATCCCAGAACCCTCCCTCCTGGAATCAGTAACATCATACACAGCCTTCAGCATATCCCTACCACTGCTCCTGATCACATGGCTGGCTCTCTGCCTGATGCGAGGCGGCGCTGCTACTGTCTCCAACTCCATACACAAGCATCTCATCTTCTGCGTGTTTATGGCTGAACTGCTGTACGTCATCGCTTTGAAAGCCAGGACTTCTTTGGTGCAAAATGAAGTAAGTGGCAATGATTTTATTTAAACCTTCGGTCATGTACTCATGTTCCGTAAGAATAAGGTTATTTATTCGGGGCATTTTTTATAATTAAATTGTTAATTAATTAACTTTTCATCCTTGTCTCTTTCTCCTGCTCTTTTTTGACTCCATTCCGTTTTCTTTTTCTCCATCTGACTCTCCTTTTTCTTTCTTCTTTTTATATCATTCTTTTTCCTTCTTTCTTTCTCGCTTCTTCCTCTCTTTTCTCTCCCTTTCTCTCTATGTTTCTTTCTCTTTTTCCATCTCTTCGAATATGACGAAACGCAACATATTCAAAGTTATTTTGAGTTGAACGTCCAATAACGTGTGGCCCCAGTTCGTGTGCAAGGTGGTGGCGATGTCGCTGCACTACTGGTGGGTGTGCGCGCTGGCGTGGTGCGCGTGCGACGGCTGGCAGCTGCGGCGCCTGGTGCGCGAGCTGCGCGACGTCAACCACGCCGGGCTGGCCGCGCACCTCGCCGCCGCATACGCCGCGCCCGCCGTCGTACTCGCGCTCGCTGCCTCGCACCACCAGCATCAGTACGGGAACGCGCTCTTGTAAGTATTCAACTACGTTTTATTCTTATGGTACATCAACAGCCTGTAACAATCCACTCCTGAACAATGGGGCCTTCGCTACAAAATAACTATATGCCATAATTTTCACGCTGGTCAGGTGGGGTTGGAGATCGTAGACTTAAAATTAACTTTCAGAGCAGGCTTCTGCCCAGTTTCTATTAAATATCTAGTTCCTTAATCGCTTCGTAACTATACGACATCCGCGGAAGAAGGATTATGAGAAATGTCTCTCTGCTGTTACCACAAAATGTTTTTTACTTAAGTATAGTTTTTTTATTCTTTGATACCTCTGCTATAGTGTTAATAAGTAAGAGTATGGTTGTAATTCTTAAGGAAATATGAAACCTAACTAAGCAATTACATTATTGCGTTGTAACAGTTGCTGGGTGAGCTGCCACGAGCCGGTAGTATGGTGGGTGGTGATACCGGCCGCGGTGTACGCGGGGGCCGCGCTCGTATTCCTCGCCGGAGCCACGCGCGCCGCCTTCACTGTACGAGACCATGTTATTGGGTTTGGAAATCTAAGGTAAGTCATTTAATGTGTTATTTTGTTGACAATATTAGGTTTCGTATTAAGTATCTTGTGATTGATAAGGATGAAGTTTCATTATATAAGAAGACATCTACCTTTTTCTCAATAGCTTCTGAAAGCGTTGTCTTGATCGGAGTAGAGATACTGCTGGCAGACCTACTGCTGCATTGAAGATAGAACCACCTCCGAACATTGTAATCAAAACTTAATTCATATTACACAACAAGTAACTATCCTACCGATACACCCTAGATTACTGCTGGGAGTGAGCGTGGTTTGCGTCCCCCTGGTGGTGGTGTCGTGGGCGAGCGCGCTGTTGCTGGGCAGCGAGGTGGGGGGGCGGCGCGACGCGCTCAGTGCCGCGCTGGCCGCCGCCGTCGCTGCACACGCCGCTGCGGCTGCGCTAGGGTACATCGCCTTCAATATACGCGTCAGGGATAATCTTAAGAGGTAAGTGCTAGGACTATTAAGTTAATTGAAATTAACAGCTCCAAAAATTGTCTTCCTTGTCTCATGTAAATGAATAAATAAAATAAAAATATTCTGAAGTACGATTAGTTTTAAGCCACTACGGGATTCATAATCTGGAGGTCTGTGAGTCGCTTTCTTCTCGTAATATTTTCAATAATGTTCATTTCAGCTTGATCAAAATGGAGTAAAACTTCATATTTATTCTCCAACTCACCAAGGAAGTCCATATAACACTCATCAAAATACGTAATGATAATATTTATTACAGGACGGTACTAAGATGTTTGGGCAAGAAAGTGCCTCTAGTCGACACATCAATCATAGTCAGCAGCAGTGCTCAAAACTTATCACAAGTTAACAGGTAAAATATTTACGATTATAAACTTTATTCGTATTATAAATAAAGGACTGTATCCCTTAAAATACTATTTGTGTTGTGTTCCTTAGGTCTGCCCTGGCGTATCATAGTAGTACGGAGCCAGGACGCCAGATGAGAAATATAGGAATATCAGCATCATCCACCACTTCTAGATCTACTACTAAAACTAGTTCCAGCCCTTATAGGTAAGCCATTATACTTAACATACACTGAGGTGGGCCTAGTACAGAACCCTGAGGAACTCCAGAAGCAATCACCTTTGATATTCAAATAATAACTGTGCAAACTATTTTTAATTAAATTTTGGCATGAATTACTATAATTGACAGTACTTTGGCGTATACCATTCTATATTTTCTTATTGTATCCAATTTAAGTATAATATTATATGACCAGACTTGTCAAATGCCTTTGAAAGGTTCTAGAAGTAATATGTGTCATTGGAAATTTGTTGTTCTATTTTGTGCAGTCGCAGCGATGGACAACTTCGACACACAAGTACTTCAACATCCAACTACAATACAAGCGCGAGTGACATGCCCGCGTACTTGAGAGGATTCGACTCCTCCCTTCATACTAGAAAAGATGGTAAGTCCTTTTTTCTATAACTCCAGTTATTATAGATTAAGACTTACATAACGTTCTTGACCGACTTCAAAAACTTCGTAAACCATTTTATGTTTCTTAGAGGAAGTGCTACATAAAAACTTATTAGTTTTTTTGCTAATTTAAAATTAAATAATCATATTTTATCTACTCAGATGAGGGTCGTCGTCGTCGCAAAGCGGTGACAGATGGTGAAACGACAGGAGAGACTGGTGAGGAAGCCACAGAGGCTACTGATAGTGACAGTGACGGAAGCGCCAGGAGTTTGGACCTCGCCTCCAGCCACTCCTCTGATGACGACGAGACCAGCACTCGAAGATCTAGTCATCCACCTTCAGCTAACAGTAAGAATTCCTACCAGTGTCTAGTCTGTTGTAGACCAGCCGTTATTTCTTTTTTAATTTAAGGAATTGTTGAACGGTGAAGTTTTAGAACTGAAAATGCTACTGAAAATACTAAGATTATGAAGTAAAAACTTCATATCTGTAATGAAAGAAGCTTTGCTAGAAAATATTTAGAATATACACAAATTATTTTTGTAGGAGATCGAGCCACCAGCGGCAGTGTTGCCAGCTATTTACCGAATATTACAGAAGGAGCACCGCTAGCCATTCAACCAAGATGGCCGTCACATATACGAGAAGGTAGGTTGAATTTTAACATCACTATTAACGTTTAATATCCGTGAAATGACTCTTAGGCCCGAATACTGAAACGTTACTCAATTTTAAGTCGTGCTTAAATATCGTGCCATCTCTGTCATTTTACAAAGAATTTGTAGAGATAGAACTATACTTAAGCACGACTTAAAATTGAGTAGCGTTTCAGTATGCCGACATTAGCCTCTCAGAATGCTCAAATGGAAAAAAGTACGCCATCAAACATGTTTTTCTTCTTTTAGAATCAAACCGACCAGAAATGGGTAGATGGTCACAAGAAACAGCATCGGACAATGAAGGTAACAATGGAGGTATGGCGTCTCCATCTCCCAACCCACTGCCCAACCCTGACCTGACGTCTGACGTGTACCAGCTCAGCAGACATCGGATGAAGCCTTCGATACTGGAGAACGTCCACGATACTTACGTTGCGAGTGTGGACGCATCTAGATTACCACTTGATAATAGGTAAGTTTTACGAAGGAACAACTATGACACTATTTAAAGTAAGCCCTAAGAGAAAGGGCTCTAAAGAAAGGGTCCTAAGTCTTTGTGAGAATTTTCATTTCCAAGCAATTTTCTAATTTCGTAAATTAAAGTTAACGTAAGTATTTATTCTATAATTCCTCAAATGGTCTTCAAATATGTAGTCTTTTCTTACCATTCGGAAATATTTCAAGTAAACCTAGAATACTGAAATGATACACTTCTTCTTTTTCCATAATTGCGAAAACAGACCGAAACCAATTAGAACTAACTTTGAAACCTCTCTTTTTCTCAAAGATACGGCGTAATGGATGACGAACTCATGTACGGGGTGCTCCCAACGGACACAGAAAAACAAATGCAGTATGACCCTAACTATCCCATATCACCGACTATGTACAGACTGCCAGGCAACCCTTACGGATCCAAAACCTACCTCCCTTCAAGAACCTCAGACTATGGGTTCAGCCCCACAAAATATTTAACGGGCGACCCCAACGTCTATGGGTCTAGGGACTTCAGAGACTCTGGAGTGTCCACCAGAGAACACGATGGGTACCCGCCGCGGGATTTTCGGGATTCTGGCATAGCCACCATGTTGAAAAATGACTATCAAAGAAAGATGGACGGTCATTATGGTGCAGATTATACGGACAGAATGTCTGAGGGATCAGATAAGCATCATGACAAATATTTGTTCCCGTATACAGGTAAGATGTAGTTACAGTTGCTGGTTTTTGTGTGTGTGAGTGACATATAGGTAGAGTCTTTGTTAAAATATCGTGTGAATCATTGAACCATTCAATACCTACGTACAGTTTTTAAAAAACATCGACTTAATCAGCTTTAACTAACACATTTCCTTTCTATGTTGTATTTGAAGTGTGTGCTTACGTTTTATTTTTGTTTTTTCGTTATTTACTCAAGCGACAGTTATGAAGTGCTTTTTTGACATTATTATTTTGCTTGCTTTAGCTGAAGAAGATCACGCACACTTGCGTGGCATCAACCAGGCACCGCAAGTCCGTAGTAGTGAGATGGCACACCCAGGTAATTTGTTAATGCTCCCATCACTATAGGACATGCACTTGATACGATAAGACTACAGGATTAGCTTAGTTGCCGTATGACGACTTATTAGACGACATGTTTAGTCGGTTCGGTACCTAGCATACGACGGATAGACCTTTCTATTGAAACAGACGGACGGACTCTGAATCAGAGACATAATAAAGAACTTGACGGATACTAGTATACAAAGTTTGCAGGGATTAATTAGTCAATGTTACGTATTTAGATTTAGATGTGTGCACCTACTTAGTAAATGATTTTATTATTGCATGTTATACCGAAGTTATAATTTTAGATCACTCTGTATATTTATTTTCTTATTTTTCTTTCTTTCTTAGCTGATAATCAACAGCAGATGGGGGCGCCACTGGCGAGTATGGGCGAGACGAGCGAGTAAGTGCGATTTAATTCTTTATGCATGTTACTACTGCATGATGTTATATTTTATGTTACTCAGGATTCCGTACAATAAAGAACAATTTAATGTACCTATAATGTGATATTCCCTTTATAAAGACGTTTTCCATAAGTATTATGGTTATAGGAAATTAACTATGTAACTAATCCTACTACTTGTGACTAATTTGACCCTGTGTAATTTGGAGTCCAACTCCCTTTTTGCATAAAATATTTTGCATAGTACGGAATTCTGTAAGACACGTAATTCAGGAGTCACAATCATGGACCAATTTAATTTAAAAAATAAATAAACACAGCTTTCTTTGGCCAAAAGGCATGAAGTTATTCAAACCTTTGTAAAAAAAAAAAACGTGTACGATTTTAAAAGTGGAAATTACAAATTGTGTAAGAAATTATTATTACTCTTTGCTGGACTCCTGGATATCGTTATTTTTATTATGATTTAAATAAAAAATCCAGCCATAATGATAAAATTGTCAATAGATGGTGGCGGTTGTATGAGAAACACTCATTGTAATCATCTTTTGCTTTGCTAACCTGGTGGTGTTGCCGCGCAATCATCTTCAACCATTTAGGGAGGAGGTAATTTAATGTCAATTATTTAGTTTTAATCATAATGTTTAGACGAGGGCCCTTCTGAATCATGAACATCTACTTAGGCTATGGTAGATGTTTCTAATTTTTCACGATCGCCTATCTTAGTTTTGCTGTTTTAATTGTTTGTATGTCGTCTCATGGGGGCCATGAATTTGAAAAGGCACTCGTATAGACCATTGTCACGTTTTTTCTTTATTTAATTTAATTATGTACTTGTATAACTAATAAGGTCGATTGGTTTTGTTTGGTGTTAGTAAGGCGTGAGGTCCTTAGACAACCAAAATGCCATGACCGTGTCTTCTTCATTACCGACTTCAAAAAAAGGAGGAGGTACTATGTTCGGCTGATTGTTTTTTTTTAAACTGTCTGTTATACATGTGGGTGTATCTCAACTATGCGTTGATTTTTTGTCAACATTGTTAATTATTAGATCGTAATCATATAAATAATGGTGTTTTACAGGAAATCTACTACTGAAGACGATGCAGAAACGAGAGTGTGACGACGTTAAATAGTACAAGATTTCCAATGAATCTCAATTAGTTATAATTTAATATTAAAACTTCTTCGTAATTTTATAACGATTAGTGTTAATTTATGCAAAGACTGTCGTTCAATCAGTACCCACTGCCATAGTGTAGAGTATCGAGTATTTATTTTGAAATTATTGTCTATGCTTTAAGTAGTAAGTATAGTGGAACTGAAATAGAATTTAATGTATTGAATACTCATTTTTTGTCGGGTTTAATGTTTGAAAGTTGATTCGTGTGTTTAAGTTTTAGGGGGACGTAATCAGTAATCACACAACTTGTGAACAAATAGGTATTTTACCCACTCAGATCTACTGGCGTCTATTTATTCTCATTTAGGACCTATATCACAATAGTTCATTAAGTTTTATAAACTTAACTAACACAGTTAATATGGAAAATACTTCAATACACCTTGTTGTGTGAATACGCTATACGCCCAAAGCCCTAAGAATCTCACAAAAATGCTCAGCGATTAAGCAAAATGCTACAATCACGATTACATACCTCTACTTATAAAGATGTGTACATAAATACTATCTAGATATTATCTTTATCAATACACTCAAATGTAGTAGAAAATTTATAAAGAATTTATTTTAGCGTGCGTTCGTGTAGAAATATTGCATGCCTATCGAAGTAATAATTTTATTAAATAATGACATCCAAAGTCAGTCTTGTAAATATTTAAGTTAGCTTTGGAGTGAACGTTTACCGACTTTTATTCAAATACTAAAGTATTCTCGTACATAAGTATACTCATGATTATGGGCCCTGGCCTGGCTTGAAATTGATCGAGTAAACTTGTCTAACATTTATGTGAATAAGTCGTAAACAGAACTTAATTAATTAACCAACATTTTTTGATTTTTTTATCATCATCTTACCAATCAAAAACATACGCCTTTCTATACAACAACACAAGAAAATTAATAAAATTCGATAAACTTCACTCCATATAATGTAGTGCAAAATATGAATTACTTTTATTTTTATATAAGAAAACCAAAACTATCGTTTGTAAACAACGTTAGAATAAGATTATGTAGGAATGATAATGTTTGTGTAACTGAGAATGCATTTTACATTATTTACTTGTGTGAGAGTATTATTTTTCACATTGATCCTAGCGTTTATAGGTGTCTTTACCTTATTCATTGTAGAAAAAAAATTAAGATTTGACAAAAAGAATCCGTTCTTTTATTGCTGAATGTTTGTTCTTGGAATTGGAGTTGGAATTGGAATAATAATAAAAGAGTATGTATCATTCTATTTCCGAAGTTCTCATAAAACTATGTAAATAGCGTGTTGTGTGCATTCCTAGCGTTTTAACGAAGAGTCCACCTATTTTGTAAATAATAGATTTTTACACTTTTAGTAGTTAATTAGGGACTATAATAATAATAGTGGAATATTATGTGAAAGCTTTATTTAGATATTCTGTAGTGTCAGATTGCCATAATTAATATTTAATGAGTTCGTAGCTGCACTATGAATGCGAACATAGATGATGGATATTTTTCAACAGATCTGCTACTGTTTGCTGTTTAGTGAAATCAGGCGTTTCTTCACATTGATATAATATTAAAAGTGGCAATTTTATTCACTTAAACTTAACTCTATTGTGTGTTCATGTAGTCGTAATATTTACTTGTCTACGCTTTACTTTCTATAAACTATATATCTAATTTATATTATTATGCAATGTTTGTCCAGAACAATAATTCTAGGATTTAACAGCAGATTCAAAAACCCTCTTCCTAATTTAAATAAATTCCGTTTATTTTGCTCAATGTAACATTTAAATTATTTTACACACTTACGTAAGTGATTCTAAATTATATTGCCTTGTATAAATTGCATTTGCCACTTTTACGGTTTACCCAAGTATTCGGCTCATTTTTATATTTAACATTCCATTTTGTGATATCTTAATTATCTTTCACCATTTTCTATATATTGTACCTTTACAGGCAATGTTTATATAGTGGTACAAAACATTTGAATTGTTTTATAATGAAATAAAATATTTTATTGCTAAATTGTTTGTTTTGATTTATTTATAAACTTACTCCCACGCGGTTTCACCCGCTGCTCAGCTCCTTTTAATCATAGCGTAATGTTTAACCCATTCTAGCCCAAGGGCGTTCCAGCCCTATCCTTTAATCAGAAAATGTTTTCACGGGGGGTGTACGTACATTAAGAGAGTGCTGAAAATGTTATTTTTAGCTAAAAATTAAGCTAAGCTACAAAAACTAAGCTAGCCAGTTAGCTATTGATGTTTTTTCGAATCAACCTTCCGCTGCAACTCCTGTAAGTCAGGATTTTAAGTAGATACAACCACGAAAACACCGGAACACTGAAGTCCGGCGCGTCCCAGCGACATAAATAACAGTCTTGGATCCCGCAACGAGCAGACGGATCACTTGATGGTAAGCAATAGGCGCCACCCATGGACATCCGAAACACCAGCGGTGTTAGGAATACGTTACCGGCCTTTTGAGGACTAGGATTTTGTGTTCCTATTGTTGGGGATTTCTGGATTGGGGAGATTAGGGAGGAGGTTAATTGGGCCTCCAGTAACCCTATTCACACGAGGAATCACAACGCAAGCATTGTTTCACGTCGGTTTTCTGTGAGGCCGTGGCTGGACCGGAGTGATAACTCCGGTTGAGCCCATTCGTGCCGAAGCATGGCTCTCCCACACGAATGTCAGAAGATAAATAATAGAGAAGAAAAAAAAATTGAGGTGTTATAAGATTTTGAACCGTGACCAGCCTACGTAAGCTATAAGTAGTACCTAGTTTGTTGACGGAATTAGATTTGAGTTTTTACAAATGGACTCATTCCCATACAAGTCCATTCCCACCCTACCAGGTACGTATGGGGGGTAATGAAAGTTTCGTTATTTTTTAGTGTTTGTTAAATATTGTACAAGTTTTAACCGGGACCAGTCCTAACTCCTATGCCTCTCCGGCCACCCGACCAGAACCAGACCCGAGCGAATGGGGCGTCGCGTTCGGCGCGAGCCTCAAAGCGCTGATAGACCACCACGGATGGAGCTCAATGGGGCTGATGCCGATACGGAGCCGCGGAGAACGTAAAAGATTACCGGGTCTCCGACTCGAAGTGCAAGAGTAGGACCGGGAAATTATTTGACTCTGTAAGAGCCTGACACTCCTACCCGCCTCACCCTGGGGGAGAAGTCATTCGATGATTTTCCCCCTTAACAAAAACTCATAAGCCATGTTAGCCACATTATTAATGATTTTTGGTTTCAGATTTTATAAATGGACCCATTCTCACCCCAATCCTCTATTAGAAAATACTTTTAAGTGGGGTTTTACGTCTAGGGGGTGCTGAAAATTTCGTTATTTTATTGCTGGGACCTCTAGTTTTTTTTTGAGATATCGTTAAATTTATAACGCCATCAGTCCTCATACTAAATTAATTATAGTTTTTGGCTTAGGTACTCACGTGACTGTTTGACGAAGAACTCGACTAGTTTCAAGCCATGATGGAGGCTCATATTCATTAAATAAACCGAAAAATAATAATTAACAAATATTATACCTAAGATTTTAAAAAGGGAGTCCAGTCCAAAGTCACTCCCACATCATCGTTCAATCAGTGAATTTCTTCAATGGAATGTGTCCAATGGAAAGCGGGTTGGCTAAGGCCAGCTATGGCTTTGTAAGTTACAGCTGTCCTTGGCCCTGTGCTAAAAGGCTAAGGCTGGATCTTCCCGCAATCTTTACACTTCCTATCACTACCTACGCTTGTGTGTCGACGTAATCATACGTACATAATACTCTTATCGTACACAATCAACAACGTAGGAGCCACTCACGCGCATTGGTGATAATGATAGAATCAACAAAATAGATTACGACATCTTGATTTTGTGTCTCATTCTGTCTTTGAGAATTTTGGAATTCCTTGATAATCAAGAAATAACTGTCTGTACAAACGACATAAAATCTTTATTTTCAGATTATTCCCAATGTCATAAGTTAGGTACCTATCTTTTAGGACGCATAGACTCAAGATCAATTTTATGAATATTTCAGGGTCAATGTAAACAGACTAATCTCATGGTCATTTCCTAATTTCGGACACGCCTGACGAAGCCTATTATTGTCTCAAAGACTACCTAAATCAAAGTATGGGTACAATAAGACAAAATTGATATTACTTGAGAGGTTTTTTTTCTATTTTATCCTAACCCTATCCACGTTCATGTAGTTGTAGTCAAAATTAAAGAGAAAAATAAAAATATCTGTGTACAACTTTTTATCTATTTATTCATCAACATACATAATATCTACATTTGCACAAATAAAATATATTTACTTAGAATTACATCAGTAAATTGAATAAGACTGACATAATACTTTCTCGTTCGTTTTGTTCCGAAATTTGAACACTGCGCTAATAGCCAATGTCGATAATCATTTGATATATAAAATACCAACAATGTGTGGCAACAAATTAACTCCTATAGTTAAGTTTATGCAGTTGAATTTACAAGTACGTACAATAAATTAGTAAGAGGTAAGCAAACTAATATTTACAATTGGGACTTTATAATCATTTGATATATTTTTATTTTCTCATACAATAATTTAAGGGAAACCGTGCTTTATCGATACCAGAAAACATTAACAATTTCGATATTTTCCAAGCAGACACATGCAGCTTTAGTTCATCAGTACAATAATTTCTGTCATGAAAGATGTTTTCTATATAATTGTAAAACTTTGTGCTCTGCTATAATAACAATAGAATGCTATTGATGGCTATATACAATGCCATCAACATCACCCTCTTCATAACTTGTGTCGAATGGAAAATAACATATCACACCAAATACGAAATGTATGTACATTAATATTTTATTACTATGTATAATATGGGTTACAGACTGACCAATGAAGCTTTTACAAAACTTGAAACAAGGTTTTATGGAATGTATAAGCCTTATAAATGACTAGGCACAATACTGTAGTTATGTCAAGGCAGAGCTTTATATTAGGCCACGGAAACTCTAAGAACAGTGCATGCCTAGTCATTTCCAAATTAGGACACTGTTACGGTTCAATACAACACAATCTCAACAGTTTGCTAAATAGTTGTCAATAGAATACTGAAATACAATCCAAACCTCTGTTCAAATATCTCAAATCTTAGCACAAATGCCTTAATATATGAAACAACAATTATAGTAAATTTATAGTACAGTAATAACATCAAAAAGTTAAATTTATTTTAAGCTACTTTGCTATGGAGTGCTAAGATCAGATATTTTGATTTAAAATTAAAAAAATAATTTACTTTTTATAAACACATCAACAAAGAGCAGGCAGGAAAGATACACAAGTTCAACACTGCAATTATAATAACTTGAAGCTTCTTCGGTATATAAGTATGTGAGCACTGGATACTCTGTTAGTGAGGGAGGTCAAGGCTGGTAACTTCCAGTGCCGATGTACACTGAAAACAATAAAAAACTCATTATTATCTCAAATACTTTAATTACATATACAGGTAACATTACAATTAATAATTCCTAAGAATATATTAAATTAATACCATACAGTAAGGAAGCTTAAGGAAAACAAGGCCCGATGTGTAAACTTTACATAATACAACTATTTGTCAAATGACTGAAACATGCTGTAACACTTAGATGTCCATACTAGCAAGATCATGTGACCTAGATTATAAACCTATTTTTATATTATCATTTATTCTCCAATATGACTTAAAGAACATTTCACATAATAGACTTTCTTATAAGATTGTATTAGAACATCAAAATGTACAGACAGATTAAAGAAATAAATTTCTAAAATGTAAATGGATCAATATAAGTTTCAGTAATAATAAAGTTTAGACTAGTTTTATAAACATAATAAGGTTTTAAATGAAACATTGTATGAATCATAGTCACAATTTGATTGTCACAATATACTACATAATTACAATAATTGTAATAAATGCAAATATTGAATGGATACTTACACTTAGATTCAAGTTTTAAGTTTATTCTTAAATTACTGGTTGCCCATTTTGCACTTCGATGTCATGTAGATACCAACAATAAGACCAAAGAGACCAATGGCTGATCCGAAAATCTCTACAATTAGGATCTTGACGAACAGAGCAGCATTGGCTGCATCGGCCAGGGCAGCACCAGATCCTACAATTCCAACGGCGATACCACAGAACAGGTTGACAGTACCCACGGCCAGACCAGCTCCAAACATCACATACCCAGCCATCCAGTTCTGTTGCTTGATAGTGATATCAATCAGGGGCTCTGTGTATCTTTCCAGCATTCCAGACAACACGATGGCAGTGATCAATCCATAAATGGCGACGGCTTCGCAGAAGATGACGGAGATCAAGTTCTTAGTCTTAATTCTGGGAGCTTTGACACCTCCTCCGACTATGCTCACTCCCGTCGTGTGGATGCCCATAGCTGCCCCCACTACTGACAGAGCCACGGCGAATGCGATTCCCAACGTACCCCACATGTAGGGGGACGTGTTCTCCAGGAACCATCCAACGCTGAGTTGCTCACCCTTTCCTTGGAGAAGATAGAACATAGACACTACTGGAATCACGGCCACCACCAACAGCGCGAACAGATAAGTTAGGAAGTACCTCATCTTGAAGTATTTTTATTAGCAAATTGGTGCTGTTTTACCCGATATTCCCAAAAGGGACGGCCTTTTTTCGCCCAATTTTTGCCTTGACAGAAAACTCAAAAGCGAAGAGGTCTTGTGATCACAAGTTGTCATAGACAATAAAAGAGTTGCAATTCTCAAATATATCTAAAATAAATTCCTGTGACCTTTTGATAAAACTAAAATAAATCGTCATAAAATACACATGGAACTTTAAAACTAACAAATATAGAAAAAAAATAGTTTCAGATCTCATTTGGTCATTTTATCGGAGATTTTTACGACTAAAATAGTTTTAGTGATATATTACCAGTAAAAATAATCCGTCACTATTCACTAATCATAAGATTTGTCTATTACTTGCACGAGAAGATGAACCCAAGTAACTGACCCACAGATTGGACCTCAAGCTGTACGAAGTCTACTACGTATTTATTAATCTTAGCACGAACCAATTCTAATATAAATATTGTAGCTTGTAGATGAAAGACACAAAATCGCTTTAAACAATTAACCTACTTGACAAACGTATTTCTGTATTAAAGCATAACTATAGTATATCTTTATTACAGAAATATTTTTAACAAACCTAAACAATGATAGAAAATGAATGGCTAATGTGTAACTTAACATAAAATTTTGCGTTAAGAATATTTAAATTCTAAATTGTAATTCAATCCTAAGATTTTAAAATGGGTTTTTTTTCCTTAATTAAGTTCATTAATCCAACCTTCTATGCAATATTATTCATAAAAATGTGTCGAATTTGACACTATAGAATCACTAGGTTACCAAAGGTATGATAATAATGACCTAAATTATTCCAAACTCAACTTCCAGCAACTCAACTTTTTTATCAAAACTGTACTTGAAATCATTACCTTCCTTTTTGTGTGATGTGCAGTTTTTGTTACATATGAATGAAGTCATTCACAGTGCCTACATGGATAGTAGTGGTTGTGATAAATATTGTCTTAGTACTGTAGTAACTCAATGAATCTAATGTTTCTTTGCTAGTTCTAGTAAACGTTAAACTTCAAGCTTCAACATGGCCCAAAAATTCTGGACCTTGTGACTACTCTAATATACCCAATAATAAATAATGGACCTGAGATTAATATGACAAGAAGCACTTTTTTACAGGTAACATTATTTTTAATCTGTGCCACTTTAAAGTTGTGTATTTTGTGTAGGGGTAAACTTTATTCCTTCCATTTTTCTAATGTGTTGTGTTGTGTATTTTGTTTTGCAAAATGTGATCCCCGTTATTTTACATTTAAATTAGCTTACTTAGTTGGGTATGTGTCAAGTTGATAAGAGAAGATGGTGGAGTAAAATAACTATGTGGCCCGTGAAGTCATCATTATATAAAGATGTTGTCAGCTTACGCCAGGTTTATCGTCCGCCACTCCTACCTTACTCTCTTCACTGTAACTGCGATCTCATCCATCCTTACTGTGATCCCACTGGTATGCCATGACTTACCATCATTTTCTGACCCCATAGTGGGTTTTGAAACGCGAGGAACCACCTTAGCTCATCGGTTTATTGCATGGGAGAACCTCATCGAAGAAACAAGACCTTCTCGAAGTCTCGCAGTGAATCCGAAAGAAATTGAGGATCAGATTCGCATGAACCAAACATACTACAACAGAACACGGCAGGACAGACCGAGGTCAGGTCGCGCCCGTTCTAAGAAAAAAGGACGTGACAAAAAGAAAAAGGTACATCACAACAACGACACAAATTTTGAAAAGAATTGGCCACTGGCAGAACCTAACATATCTAGTACCCATGTCCATTGGGGATTTGGAAAAAACAAAACATTTGAAGATGAAAATGCAGTCTTTCTAAAAGATCACACAAGAAAACAATGGGTATCTATTAAAGAAATGCAGCGTAAACCCGATAAACCCATAACCCACAACTATGCATCGGGAACCTGTGGACCACCCATATCAGATTATGCTCATTTAGTTATAACTAATACAGATAACACATCTTTATTAACATTTGAAAATGTTGAAAGGATGTGTAGACTGCAGTCCATGCTGGTGGAGCTTGGAGAAGCAGAATATTACAAAATGTGCCAAAGGGATCTACATTCTGAAGACGTCTGTTGCCCAGTGTGGAGTGTGCCAAACTACATAGCTTTAATGTCTGGCAAGACTACCTGTGAAAATTTAAGTAGAGATGATGTAAGTAGTGCAGTTACTATCTTGAAGAAGTGCGCTGGCTACTTCCATAACTTCTCATTGATGGCCTCTTGTGACTTAGATAGGTGTAAAGTTCCCAAGTATTGTTCTCAGTATGATGCCATATATAACTTGTTATTTTATCTCATAGATTCACAAGCATTTACTCCATCTGATCTCTCACAGAGTTTTGTTAGGAATGTCATGTTGTTTTTACCCTTGCCAAGCAGTAGCACTGTGTTACCTTATTATGAAATATTGCAAAGTTCAAATCTATCTTATGAGACACTTGTAATACCTGCCATGGAGTTTGGACTGAAAAATGCACTTTTTGACTTATGGGTAATACAAGATACTTGGTTGATAGGTTTAGGAGGTCTCTTTGTATTTATGTGTGTGTGGGTCTATACAAAATCTATAATTCTTACTCTGCTGTTGTTTATAGCTATAACATATTCAATTGGTATAGCATACTTCTTGTATATCTATGTGTTCAATTTGGAATTTTTTCCCTTTATGAATTTATTAGTAATAGTTGTTGTGATAGGTATAGGGGCAGATGATGCATTCCTTTATGTCAAAGTTTGGAAAATGGCGAGCAAACAACTCATTCGCGATAATGTTGTTAGTCAGGAGAATGGTTTAAGTGACATAAAGAATGTGTCCAGTGCAGGCGAAACTATACTAATACAAATACTTGTGGAGACCATGAAACACTCCATAACAACTATGGCCGTCACCACCTTGACAACAGCAGTAGCTTTCCTAGCCTCCTATGTCAGTTACATACCCGCTATAAACTGCTTTAGTGTCTTCGCAGGTACAGCTGTTCTAGTCAACTTTCTTTTAATGATAAGTATGTTGCCAGCGTCAGTATTTATTGTAGATGTTAAATTGTGTACAAATCGAAGAAAGTTTTTAGATGTAATTCACAAAAATATTAATGAATTTTGGGAAGATATCAGAGTGATGTTGAATGTATTTATTATAACATGTGTCACAAGATTGTACATAATGTTTGTTATAGTGTTGGGTGCTATTGGTATTGGCAGCCTTGTCGTAGTCTTCTATTACCCTGGCCTTCAATTGCCAGACTTAAAACAGTTCCAACTTTTCCAGACTTCCCATCCTTTTGAACAGTATGATATGGTGTACAGTAGCAAGTTCTTATTTGAGAGATTCGGAAAGGATATCGGTACAGGCAGTAAGATGCCTCTCAGATGGATTTGGGGAGTTAAAGCTATAGATAATGGAAATCACATGGACCCTGCTTCTAAGGGTCATATAGAATTTGATGGTAGCTTTTCAGTATCGGACCCTGATTCTCAAAAGTGGTTGGCTGGATTTTGTAATAGAATTAAAAAACAGCCATTTTTCCAACCAACTTTAGGCCCTTTACTCCCAAACTGTTTCATTGAGAGCTTCAAAATGTATATGAGCAGACGCTGCATTGACCATATTGACAAAATTAATAGAACACCTTGCTGTGAGACATCAGTGTTTCCTTATAAAAAAGAAGTGTTTGAATTCTGTATTATAAAGGCTATGGAGTCCTTGTACCAGACTCCTCGCGAATTGTTTATGCCTGGTGTGGCCGGCCCAAAATTTCTTAGAAGTGCCAATCCAACTGTCTCAGCAATTGTAGTCGAATTTGAGAGTGTTGTGCCCTACTCTATGTCATATACTGAAATGGATTATTTTTATAGCCAAGTAGAAAATTGGACGCAACATGAATTGAAATATGCACCACCGGGAATGCAAAGTGGTTGGTTTTTGTCTGACTTACAATTTTATGATCTACAAAAAACATTAGCTAGCGGAACTGTGATTGCCCTTATACTGTCAGCTACATTAGGTTTTATAGTACTTGTACCGGCAACATTAAGCCTCGTGATTAGCTCATGTGCTTTAGTGGCCATGATATTTTCCGCAACTATAACTATAGCTATCTTAGTATTAAATGGTTGGAAGCTCAATGTTTTAGAAAGTGTAGCAATATCTACTTCGGCAGGGTTAGCTGTGGATTTTAATCTTCACTATGCCCTTTCTTATGCTAATGCTAATGGAGCAAAGTCTGCGAGAGTCAAATGTGCATTGTCGTCGTCTTCTGGTCCAACTGCGGCTGCCGCGTTGACGACTGGGTTCGCAGGAATATTTTTATTGCGCTCAAATCTCCTGCCTTATTCGCAGATAGGGTCTTTTCTAGCTCTGATAATGGTAGTCAGTTGGAGTTATGCAACATTCTTTTTGTGTTCTCTTCTCCAATTAGTTGGACGTAACTCTGTGAAAGAATCTCCTACAGAGGAAAGAAAATCGGTATCGCGAGTAAGTTCTGTTTGCTCAGGTGTTCCCAATTTAGAGAGCCACGAGCTGGAGCACCTGGCAGACAGCAGTCGTACGAATCTCACGCACTCCCGCAGTCCCTCTAATGCTAGCGCCACTACCGTTGTTTTACACGATGACTACGATAATTCTCACAATAAAATTGTTAAGAAGTCTAGTGATACGAGTAATAATAAATTCTCCGAAAACGACTGAATGTTAGAACTAATTCGTAAGTAGCTAAGTAAGCCATATTTTGAAGTATTTTTGTGACAAACCAGTATTATTTTTTAACGTTTTTATTTTTGTTATACGCTGTTTTCTCTGATTTACTATTGTAGTTTGGTCTTTGTAAATACTCGTGACTTGTATTAAATCAATTTATAGGAATGATCGATGTGACAATAATTATCACATAAATATTCACATGGGACAATATAAGATCTTAACGAGCTTAGCTTGCATTTTGAGTTAAGTACCGTAAATGTGTTACTTATTCTGATCTCACGTGTGAATTAAATACTACTAATTTTATTATGTATTGCTATAATTATTATACATAGGATCATGATCTGATGTACTTAATGTTAGACTTTACAATTCTATACATGTTTAACTATTTAAATGTTACTTTGCACTGTTATTTCATTGATGTATTCTTGTTCTAAGCATATAAGTATTAATGTCAATTCACATTCACGATGAAATTGTTAAAATTAACTTTAAATTAAATTCTGTATGTATATTATCATATTAAAAATATGTATGATGTGCAGCTGTTAAACGATAATTATGGGATCAGGGCGAAAATATTTAAAAATAGGCCCTGTGTTCTATTTCGAACTACTTAATTTACCAAAATAAAAATATATGTATTGTAATATTGAACGTCACAAAGAAGCGGGAAAATTTTGCACAGTTGGGATTTAGGCATTTACATATTTTTTTATTTGAAATCTCACCGCGTGACATCCCGCTTCGTGTGAATCATGTTTGTATATAAAGGATACTGCCATGCACACTACAATCCTACATTTATCATAAAAAAAATTCTCAAAGCTTATTCTCTCAAAATACAAAGTGTAAAAGTGAGTACAAATGAAGCTAATGAAGGTAGCTGTTAGGTATAAGTACTTGCTTTTGATTTTCAAAACAGCCTTTTAACAAATTGGCCTATTTGTTGTACTCCACTCCTAAAAGTAGTGTGGCCGTATCCTTAGTAATTCTCACATCAATGTATGTATTTAAATGTCGTAAGTGTGAAAACTTACGTTGTATTTCGTGAAGTACTTATTTTACAATGCCTAGAGCGTTAATCATTAAGTAAACTCAATTTACATTAGGCTAATTTAAGAAAATGCCTACATATAATACATAGCACAAAGTTTAAAAAACAAAATAATGAAATATTTTTGTTACGAAATTGTTACCATTTGATCATAGAATTTAACTATGATGCCTGTTATTAATATCGAATCAAATAGCTATACAGTTTGTAAAAAACGTAAGTTCTTTAGCATAATGAACTAAGAAAGTATAAATTTCGGTGTATAATACCTAAGACGTAAGATTTTTTACTAATCAGATGTATCGGATGTTGACTAACTACTAATACTCTTTAGTGTACCTAGATAATAGATAAATGGTCAGCTACACAAGGTAGCGTAACTTGATAGTATTATGATTGTGTAAGAAACGAAATAAAATGTTAATTTTTATAAGAGGGTTGTTTTAATTTTATACAAATTCCTTGGAATTAAACAAAATAATAGTGCTCCTGCACTGTTGTTACATTTTTTAAACATAAACGATTTACTCAATCGAGTGTCGGAGAGCCATGCTTCGGCACGAATGGGCCGGCTCAACTGGAGTGATACCACGGCCTCACAGAAAACAGACGTAAAACAACGCTTGCGTTGTGTTTCGTCGTGTGAGTGACGTTACCAGAGGCCCAATTACCCCCTTCTCCATTCTCTCCCCAATCCCCGAATCCTCAAATTGCTTTTTGGGTGTCTATGGGCGACGCCGATTGCTTACCATCAGCCGCCATCAGGTGATCCGTTCGCCCGTTTACCGGCTTATCTCATAAAAAAATCGACAGAAAAGGGTTACTTAAATGTTCATTTAATATTGCATCACGCCTGTTAAATAGTCTTCGTAGGGATGGGGATATGGTCAAAAACCAAATAGAGCCTTCTACTTTAAACCTGAAACCGAATCCTGGACTCCTTCCTGCAGTCGTACATTGATACAACCATCGGTTGTTCAAATGAAATGAAATTGCGCAACCTGGATTCCTCCTAGTCCTTTCCATCATCGTACCACAAGACAATCGGCGAAGCGTCACCGATTCATGGTAGATGAACCCCCCTACACGCACGAAGCGCTTTGTATCAAGCTTCCTTGTTCGTACTGCTAAGGAGTAGAATACGTGTTCGTATTGCTAAGGTAGCGTTGTAATTGCAGCAGTAAGACCCCTCTTTGAGGAGTGGCTTGAGAGACGTTATGACGCCCGGGTGTCATCACTGCGAGGACCGCCTCAGGGCGTTCCACCGTGTCCTCAGGGACACAATGGGGGCATGCCCTGCATGGGCTGGACACCGCCGTGCCCTCAGGGGATGTGATCGGCGACGGCGACCTCTCGCGTCCGGCCCTAGTCCGGGCCATGATGCGGACTTGCGGAGCGACGAAGACTGGGATGCCGTCTCATCCTTTTGCGAAGCAGTCATGCTAGCTAAGAAGGAGGCGGGGTGACGCAACGAAGCACTGCTTCCTCACAGCCCAGCCGTCATGAAGGACACTCCGGGCGTCGGGGATCGCCGGACGATCTCCGGCCACCGCAAGCACGGGCCTGCTCGACCAGAACCAGACCCGAGCGTACGGCGCTTACGGTACGCGCTTGCCTCAAAGAGCCATCAGACCACCACAGATGGGGCCCAGTAGGGATAATACCGATACCGAGCTGCGGAAAACGTAAAAGGTTACCGGAGTTCTGGCTCGATGTGCAGAATTAGGAACGGGGTGATTTTTAGTCAGTCTGACACTCCCTCCCGCCTCACCCAGATGGGAAAAGTCTTCGATGATTTTCCCCCCTTAAAAAAGGAGAAGAAGTCTTTGCCAGAGTCCTCTTTCCTGAAAGGTCTAGGTTCCTAGGTGTCTGCAAGGACCGAGTGAGTAGGTTGCTTATGGGACGACGTGCTCCATCATAGACCGCATAATGACTTCCCACTAGGCCAAAAATAATAAAAATAATTTAACCAATAAAAAAATCAAACATGGGTCTAACTAAAGTCTATTTGTGGCCATGTATTAAACATGTAAAATTTGATTGATTAATTGTCTTTTTCATGGCTAAACTTTCTACATAACATAACATAACACCTTTTTATCCTCGAAGGGGTAGGCAGAGGTGTACATTATGACATTTAATGCCACTGTACAATGTAACACCCACTTTTCACTATTTATGTTATGAGTCCCACGTACCTAATAGGGCACAATTCCAGACTTCGTGCTACTACTAAGTTTAAAAGACCCTTATACTAAGCCCGCCCCAAAAAACGAACCCGAGACCCCATGCCCAACAGTCGCACTTGCGACCACCCGTCCAACGACGCAGCAAACTTTCTTTTGGTATGATAATGTCGGACATGGACTCTATGGGACATCTTCATCTCATTCAGCTTGGACTTCAAGCTGACACAAATGACAACTGCAAGCCTAGAAGTTGCGCGGGCCTGCGGACGGCGAGCATGGGTGGCTGCCCATCCGACCATAAACAGACCCAAGCGTATGGCGCGTCGCGTTCCGCGCGCGCCTCAAAGAACCATTAGACCACCACAGAAGGGTCTCAACAGGGCCGATGCCGATTCGGAGTCGCGGAAAAATTAATGAGTTACCGGGGCTCCGGCTCGACGTGCAGCAGACGGGGTGGTTTTTAGTAAGTAAGAGCCTGACACTCCCTCCCGCCTCACCCAGACCGAGGCGGGAGCAGATTCGATGATTTTCCTCCCTTAAAAAAAGCCTTGGAGTTGTCATGCTCACTCAAAAGTCTAATTGGCGGTGGCACGGGCACTGGATCGTTTGATTCCCTACAATATGGTTGAGTTGGGCGGTGGTGTACGTGCCATGTTCGTGAACGGGCACTGTCAACTCTCCAGCCAGACTGTATTCTTTAAGGTTATTTTCTTTTTCTTTCTCCTTGACTGAATATTGGTGTTTCATGGTTCGAACCAAGAATATTGTACCTATTGTGAACATGATTGAAAAAGAGTACCTAACCTATGGAGTTTCTTGCTCGTTCTTTACATAGAAATATAAACTTTGGAACGAGCAATTAGCTTCACTATTGGACTGATCGACAGACTATTTTTTTTTAATATTCCAATATTTTGTGTTGACGTTCAAAAGTGCATTCCTAATTGAAATTAATGATTTTCACTTTGACTTTCATCTCATGAGATGTTGAACATGGGCAACGACATTGAAATCAATCGAATTACTTCAGTTTAAGTTAATTTTAAGTTGTACATATTCATAATTATGCTTTTTGAAAATGTGAATATATATTTTGTCGAATTACTCAATTTTAAGTCACTTGTCACTTGTAATAACTAAACGTTATATTGACAGCTTTGCACAACAATTTGTCTTTCGAAATTTTAGCATATTCTTATGCTGTCCTTGTCACACAAGGTGTAATTGGCGCTATCTTGTTGTCAACAGTCTTATTATCATTTGACATTGACAGCAATATTTTATCGTCTGGAACGCCCGTTTCAATGATTCGTGCGTGCGGTGATTCATACAGATTGCAAACAATAAATAAAATTACGCGTTAGTCATTCGTAATCTCTTGTGAATTAAAAATTATTGTTAAATATTAACTATATTCAAAATGTTTTCCACAAATCCTAACTACACTAAGCTCAAAACTCACTTGAGACTTGCTATAAATAGGCTAAAATTGCTAGAGAAGAAGAAAACGGAATTAGCTCAGAAAGCCAGGAAGGAAATTGCTGAATATATTGCTGCTGGTAAAAGCGAGAGAGCTAAGATACGCGTGGAACATATCATCAGGTGAGAACATTGAATAATTGTATATGAAATGGATTAAAAGTCTCCAAACAAAGTTGTCCTTGAGACAGATTTTTGATCACTTCTGTACAAAATAACGCATTGCGTCATGGTGTAATAGGCAGGGCAGGACTAGTTTAATAGACTTAATGTCTGTCTGTGATTTAATCTGTTTGGGAATAACTTCATTATATTGACACACAAAGACAACTCTATAAATATTGAATATTGAAAAGAATATTGAACTATGTATGTAACTATTGTAAAACTATGTATTTGTTATTGTGCCTCATATAGAGATAAAAGTTTAACTTGTTAATAAAATATGAATGATCCTTCTTACAGAGAGGACTACATGGTGGAAGCTATGGAAATAGTAGAGATGTACTGTGACCTCATACTGGCAAGGTTTGGCCTTGTGACGCAGATGAAGGAGCTTGATGAAGGACTTGCTGAGGCGATCTCTAGCCTCATATGGGTTGCTCCTAGAATGCATACCGACGTTCAGGTAGGGAGACAACTGTAGAATTATTTGTTCTACTTATATATTCTATAGGAAATTAATACATTTTCACAATAACTGAGCCGTATTTGTTAGTCCAACTCACAGACTACTACATATATTTCCCTAATAAATTGTTTCTTAGTTAGGTTAACAGCTACTTAATCAAATATTTTGAAACGGGCCCGAAAACTCCAAATGATTTATTTTCTTTTTTGTATTTAATGGGCCGATTTTTGACCAATATCTTAATAAATCATATAAGTAATTGGTTCTTTCCAACAGTCCTTAGCTAAAATATCAATCTTATTGGATGTTATTGGACAGTACTGATTATTTTTTTTAAATAGAAACTTGTTAGATTAACTACTTCTAAATAACAGTATTTATAACGGTTATTACTAAAGATATATTTGTCTACAGGAACTGAAAATAATATCAGACCTACTCACAGCTAAATACGGAAAGATCTATGCGGATGCCTGCAGAAATGAAAATGTGAATACTTTGAGTGACAAGTTAAAACACAAGATGTCAGTGCAAAGTCCGCCTAAAATACTTGTAGAGAGGTACCTGATAGAGATAGCTAAGAATTATAATGTTGAGTATGTACCTGATGAACAAGTCATGAGGGAGGAAGAAGGTATGTATTGCTTTTGGAAAATGTATAACTATGCTAGCTTTTACCTGCGACTTCGCCCATGTTTCGGTGGGATAATAAGTGGCCTATGAGTTATTCCAGACCGTAATCTATCCCTAGTGAAAATTTCTACCTGATCCCTTCAGCCTTGGGGCTCGCCCTCTGCTCTATCTAGAACTTAAGTCAGTCCTTCAGCCTTTTTGACGTGATTGATTAACAAACACACACACACACACACACACACACACACTCACACACACACACACACACACACACACACACACACTCACACACACACACACACACACACACACACACACACTCACACACACACACACACACACACACACACACACACTCACACACACACACACACACACACACACAAACTTTCGTATTTATAATATTAGTTAGATCGTTTATCTTATCTAGCTCTATTAGTATAGGATTTGATTTTTTTAATTGTCAGGCCAGATTCTGGTCGAGCTTAATTTAATATTTCATGGGTTTACTTTCTTATATTTCATTGTGCTGATTCATACAGGAAGTAGGTATAAATAGAACTTTTATAAATAAACATTAGCGAATCTTTAAGATATAAAATCATCAGACAACCACAAAATGACCTTTTAAATAAACAGAACATTACCCCGAAACATTATCCCCGAAGGGGTAGGCAGAGGTGCACTATGCCACTGTGCAATGTAACACCCACTTTTCACTATTTATGTTATGAGTCCCATGTAATAGGGGGTGAGCCTATTGCCATATACCGGGCACGATTGCAGACTCCGTGCTACTACTGAGTTTTTTTTTAAAACCCATAATACTTTGCCCGACCCGGGCATCCGGGCAATCGAACCCGAGACCCCTTGCCCGGCAGTCGCACTTGCGATCACTCGGCCAACGAGGCAGTCTTGAAATAGTACATGAATTTATGAGTATAAACCGATTATATCGTACATTTTTAAATTCACAGGTAGGGACGCAATGTTAATAGACATTAACGGTCCTCCAATGCCTCCTGGTTTCATTGGTTACCCGCAGCAACCAACTATGACCATGCCCAACCTGCCGCCGCCGCCACCACCAACAGTGACTCCGTTTGCTTATCCTTCTGTGAGTATAATTTTGTTATTTGTGATCTTGCTTATTAGACATTTTGGTATTGGCTGAATCATGTACTTGTTCTACAAAAGATTTATCATTAACTTTTATGTGTACCTTCACAAACAACTTTCTTAAACATAACATAACATCACGCCTTTTATCCCCGAAGGGGTAGGCAGAGGTGCACACAGAAGTAACACCTACTTTTCACTAATTATGTTACGAGTCCCATGTAATAGGGGGTGAGTTTATTGCCATATACCGGGCACAATTCCAGACTCCGTTTTACTACTAAGATTTTTTTTTAAAACCTAATATTACTTTGCCCGACCCGGGAATCGAACCATAGACCCCTTGCCCGGTAGTCGCACTTGCGTCCACTCGGCCAACGAGGTAGTTAGAGGCTTTCTTAAACTTATCATTAAAAAAAGAATTTCAGATATATTTACTTCTTACAATTAGGTACACCTTCTAAATCTTTATAAAAATAATAAATTATTTGATTTGGTACTGATTCTCGAAATTTTTGTCATAGATAGATGTGTATTGTGTACCTTACCTATATCTTCAAAGGAAACCTATTAATATTCACTTTATAAATACTTATTATGTATGATTAACTATGCTAAATATTTACCTTTGAATTGATATCAATAATGAATGTGTTGTATTCAGCTGTTGATTCATGGCACTTGAAGTTTAAATACTTCGTCTACACTGTGTACTCAATATCAATACTTCAATTACTATGTTATTCCCCATTTACAAAAATCAAAACTTAAACTATAAATAGAAATGGACTAATTACTCTTATACATAAGCTCTTGTATGTTCCTATTCCGTGTGCTTACGGCATTCATGCTGGCTACCACCGTTATTACAAACAACTGAAATAAAATTGCTTTTAGATTGTATGTACTATGAATTTAAAATCACAGGACACTCTAACTTGGGTTAAATAATAGTAGTTATAATTAAAATAAAAACCATTATTTTATCCACTTTCCCAGATTTTTGTCATCACTGCTAATATTTCTGTTAGCTAATTTTGTGACTAATTTTCACCTGTAGCAACCATCGGGCGGGAAAGTAGGTGGTTTTATCGCGACTCCGCCGGCTTCGTATGGCGGGCCCAGTCAGTCACCAATGGGCTATCATCTGCCTCCTGGAGTCGATTCTAAATCCTTAAGCAATAGCTTCTTGCAGGTAATCATACAAAAAACAAGATAAAATATATTGAAAAGCAAAATTCCTTTTGAAAATTAATATGGAACGTAAAGTTAAATTTTGAATAGTGTTACCATAATTATAATAAATGTTAGTTGCTTGGTGTTGCCATTTTAAAAATATAAAATTGTCCCAATTGTTCCTAATTTATTATTTTGCAATTTGCCATTATTTGTTACTAAATATTTATGTTTATTTTCTGTTATTTATATTGTAAACTAATGCTATAAAACGCATGTTTGAGAGTTTGGCTTGAAACCACTTTATTCGTTTTTCAGGATGAAATGAGCAATCTGCCTCCTGCTTATGACAGCATCCACCATGATTTGGTACCTATTTTCTTTTTATTATTTTTTCGCTTTATATTTCACTGCATGAATTAGATATTAGTACCTATGGTAGTGCAAGTACCACTATGTATGTGTGCAAATAGAAAAGCATGCTTTAAAGTTATCGTTATGACATAACTCTTACGAAGATTGAAAGCAATCAATATTTACCAGTATTTGAAATAATATTGAATTTGAATCAAACTCAAATTACGTTCCGAATGTTTCCTCATCTTTCTTCTCTTTTCATAGTTTTAATTAACCTACTTTATCGACATAAAATGTAATCCTCCAATCTTATTTCCAGCCGCCACACGTGCCGAGTCCACCAGCCCCGAACGTGCCGACGCCGCAGCCCCGTTCTCGAGTCCCCAACCCGAATCACTTCCCAGAGCTTCCCGACCTGCCATCAGTACCATCAGACCTCATCCTCCCATCAGTACCTCACAGTAACAACTCAAATACTTCAAACAATCATCCCAACGCGCCCAATGCCCCTGATGAAATAGATTTCGATGATCTGAACCGTCGCTTCGAAGAGTTGAAGAAGAAAAAGTAAGGTAGAATAAATTGCCAGTCACTTAAGATGCGGGATTTGGAACGTTTCTACTTGAAGGATAGTTACTATTTTTGCCTTATAATGGATATTGTCTATATCTATTTGTCTGTTGATTAAGTTACTACTAAAGAAAATTTTCGCCGACTTGCATTTAGAGAGATCGATGAAGCTATTTAGAGGTTCGCAGAATCGTGTCTTTTTGTATTTTATTGTGTCTGTACTGAATTGGCGTGACGATATCTACGACTATTTACTGCAATGTAAGTTGTCAAATACTATTTTATCTCTAGTTGCTAAATCTACCGACAGATAGGTTAGATAATGGTGGTAAATGTACGGGAGCGTACCGAAATCGTTATTCATTAAAAATATTTTTGAGATTAGTATGGTCACAAAACCCGCAAGTATACGACTGGCCTAATATAAGATTAGCCGACGCTCACTTTTGAATCTGAATTTATATAAGTGTTGTTAACAGTATTTGTATTAAAAGAGCATCGATAGTTTTGTACTTCTGACACCGAATGAATTAAATTCTTTGGTTAAATTTATTAAACGACTAGTTGGACACAACCAATAAGCAATATTAAAGTATGTGTATGTGATATTTTGTTCAAAACTCCACAAATAAAGAAGTATGTAACCAATAATTTTAAAATCGATGCTTTAATGATCAAAAATTATTTGATTTTCGCCATTAGTAAAGTAATTGATATTCATTTTCATTCACTCGGCTATGTCTTTGCAATCTTTGCGCTGTGACACTGAAACAAAATCGAATCGAATAATAGTCACACGCATTCTCATAGAAACATGTGTTTTTAATTTATTTTTAACTTTCCTTATATGTTAAGGGCTCGAGCAGACTGGATGCGTGTGCATATACGTGCACGTACCATTTGAGTTTATGTATAAAACTACACGCGTACGTAAAGACTCACTACTTCCTTAATCACACTCAACAATTCAAAGTTAGAAATAGAGACAGAAAGATTGCAAGACTTGCAGTCAATTCTCAAAACTCGATAATTCGAAATATTTTAAGTCCCTCGAGTTAAAATTAACCATAGTCGACTGTGTTACAAGTCAGTGGTACGTCCACGTCTATGCATACGTGTCTGGTGTGCTCCAGCCTTAAGACTGGTCGTCGTGATGGCGATTTCTTATGTAAAATATTATGTAACTATTTTTTATCCACCTTTTTTTATTTACTCTGGCATTTTGCCTATAATTATCTGTAACATAATGTGATTGCTATGTTGATATAAATAACGTAACTTTTAACTGTTGTTCTAATTTAACTGTTACATAATAATTAGGTATGTAATTGTAAAACGTGTTTGGAAGAATGGAAGGCCCTATGTACTTTCTAAGAAGTCAATATTTAATTCAAAATGTCAAAGTTATGACGTCATATTCTTTGCGACAGAGTGTACTCATTGAAATAAATAAGAAAAATACAGATGTAATTATGTTTTGAAATCAATTAGTGAAACTGAGATTATTTGCAAATATTTTATTGCATAAAAAGTCGAAGAAAAGACTTGTTTTTAACTAAGGAGGCTACCTAATTCTATTCTTCTAAACAATGTTTAGTCTTCATCAGAAATGGATAAATATCTAGTAAAATATTAGGTATGTGTAAAGTATAGGTTATGAAATAAAAGAGTTTTATTTTAATATTTTATACAATTTATTATTATTGCTGCAATGTCTGGTATCAAACCACGCTTCCATTGATGGCGGGTAGCAAGTGAATGTACATTATCAAATACAATACATTTCATCTATTACTGTGTTTTATTCAACTATTTAGTTAATATATTATGTCATAAAAAATAGACTTAACTGGGCACAGTGTCAACAGTTCATAATCCATATATTTTATATTGTACGATTTAAAACAAGGACCATAGTTATACACAACAATGGAGTTTCAAATTATTCTAATATTTATCTATAATTTTGTCCTCGCACCCATAGGATAAATTAGGGATAAAAGCTAATTATTTTTGTAGAATAATATAGCCATGTAATCCTAATTGAAGGCAATATCGATGCAATTGCTAATTATTGCTTATTTGTGACAAACTCACCACTTCCAACGGGGCCTACCGTTTTGTGCTGCTTACCAATTGGCGCAAATGGAGCAAAAGGATTTGTCGTCCAATCACAGTAGCTATCAAATATAGAACGTACAAACATGTGACACTAGTTAATTCCGTATTGGTCGAAGAACTAGAAGTTTACACTAGTGACATTTGGTAAGCAAAAATACAGTAGCCCCCATTGGACATATCTGAAGAAACATAGATAAAAAAAACGCCAACATAAAGCTAAGATCAGCTATTCAAATCCGGAGCACAAATGTCAATATGAACATACAAAAATGATCTTTTATATCTAATAATATAAATAACAGCCTTATAAAGTACTTGTGTAAGTTTTGTTCATAAGAGACTGAGTACTTGTTGCGACAGTGTTGCTATTTTCGCGTAATTCTGGTCCATAGTGTTGCCACTATCCTTTTTCAGCCTGTTATGTACTTGGGTGCTGGATACTACTCTTGCCTGAATTTGTAGCTTGTTTGGAGATTCCGCTAGAAGAGTGCCGAGTGCTACTAAACCTCTGTAATGATAAAAATAAATCTTTTAAGGGATCAGAATGGACTCAAGGTTATATTCTAGAGTAAAGGCTGGGTAAAATAAGAATAATTTTAATGTTTTTTAACAGTAACGAGTTGGAAGTATATTGGTGTTGTGAAAGTAAATATATTACCTGAAATAAGCTTCATTGTCCGTAATCTTGGGCAGTAGTTGTACCAAGCAGTCGGCGAGGTCCACACTGTCGGGTTGTTGCGCCAGCGCTACTGACAGGTTCAATAGCAACGATGTGGCTGCAATCTGTTGTAAAAAATTTAAATTTAATTCAGCCATTCAGTCTTGGCTAATAAATTCTTCATTTCTAGAGAATGTAACATACCTGAGCATTATTATTGAGTTGTGAGAGACATATGAGGGAGTGCACGACACTCTCCCTGGCGGCCAGGACCAGCATCTCTCCGGGGAGGTCACTGAATGCGTTCACTAACACTCGCATCGCTAACATCTGGTTGGCTGGGAGGTTTTCTGTAAAGATAATCAGAGATAAAAGTCAGTAAAGAAACTAAATCTTTATGTCTCTTTATTTTCTCTAAAAGTGTGTTCTTGGGTCCAATTGTGTCAGTATTTACATGCAATATACGAAAGAAATAAATATGTGGAAAAAGTTCAAAAATATCTTTTAAGAGGGGAAATTCATCAAATCACTTCAGTTCAGAGTGCCAGACTCTTACTAACTAAAAACCACCCCATTTCTACTCCTGCACTTCGAGCTGGAGAACCGGTGACCTTTTTTAAACATTAACTTCGCTAAACACATTTTATATCCTCACTTTATCTAAAAGAAAGGTGTAATGTCATAAAAGTGCATATAAAAAATGTCCACATACCTGGTCCTAAGAGTGACAGTAGATATTTGATGAACGTTGCGCCGTAAGCCGTGTCGAATATCTGGCCGTTTATTTCTTTATTCCTTACTGCTAACCTAGTTACGTCCAATACTGGAAATAGTATTTCTGTAAAAGAAAATATAAGATTAATATCATCGACGGCTAACAACTCAACAGCTTATGAGCCCCTATCTTGGTTTGAAACTAGTAGACACCTTTGAACTGTGACATGCAGAGTAATCTGCAGTGATATAGCATGTCTCACGATGATATAACGAATAATGTTTACCTTTGGGCCATTCCAGCATTTTCTTTAGTATCAATATAGTTTCATTGTTGTACACATTATTCTGTAACAAAAACAATATTTTAATTATTATTATTAATTAATAGCTTGCAACACTTGAACAGTTACGAGTGTGTTGCCAGCCTTCTGGTGTATAGGATGGGGTTTTTTGTAGGTATGGTATTTCAGCATGATGACGATCAACGTAAAAGATGGACAATATTGGTTCTGTTAGAAGATACAATTATACATACAGATAAAAGATAAAACACAATGTTATCTACATAACTATTGTCTTGTAAGATAATGATTACTATCTATGGAGACATACAATAACGAGGTATTTAATTATACAATGTTACTGAATAACTGGTTACCTGGTTGATCGAGTGGCCGCTACCGACTACCGAGCATGACATTTCGTTTTCAACAACCTGGTCGGAAAATACATTACTGCTTTTCAATTCATTGATTTCAATTCTTCAAAAAACGAATTAAAATTAAAATTTTACTTTTTAGTAAGAAATTCTTCAGAACATTCTCTATTAACACTATGGTGAGTTCCTAAATGCGCGTACATTATACATTGGTCGACCAAATAATCAAACCTCGAGATATCAGGCTCGGTAGTGATTATTGGTTAAAACTTATTGCGGCCACTCGACCATCATTATCATGATCATCAATCTAAAGACAACTTCTGGACAAAACTCTCCCTCTTATAAGTGGATTTGATTTACCCCTCAGTCTCAGTCCAGTTAAGGAATGCTGCTGCCTATTCCTCGGTAGCTGATTGCAGGATTTAGGACATAAAGGAGACCCTCTGTTCATACAAGGCAAGGATTTTTTCTTTTTAAGGGGGGAAAATCATCGAATGACTTCTCCCGCCTGAGTGAGGCGGGAGAGAGTGTCAGACTCTTACTAACTAAAAACCACCCCGTTCCTTCTCCTGCACGTCGAGCCGGAGCCCCGGTTACCCGTTAGGTTCTCCGCGACACAAGGCAAGGATAGTATGACAATATGTATATATGTAAATCTCACCGGCTCACACAATTTGACGACACTTTCCAGTTGTTCGTCAGTGAGTGCGCTCAGTCCGTCTCCTACTTTACTGTTGAACTCCTTCAGCTTGTCGTGTATCGCTTTCAAGTTGGCTTGATCGAACCTAAAATAATTCATTTTTATAACAACAATATACAATATAAACATCACGCATTTAATTGTATTATAACTTTCGTGAGACATATTTAATAAATTATTATGTTTTCGGCTTACTCACGTAATGCTGCAAATGCAGGTTCGTCGCGAAATGCTGCTCATGTGAGCCTTTAGCATGGTTTGAAACTAGTCGAGTTCCTCGTCAAATAATTACGTGGGTACGCCGAAAACATAATGTATAATTAATACTTTTTACCGGCTGTGGGTCTTAAGTAACAGAAAGTGACCTGTCACTAAACAGTGAGCCTAAACCCCGGTTTCATTATTCTAAATAGAATCCAAGGTCTCAATAATACTTAGTCCTATTTAGGAATCCTCGATAACTCCTGCCTGCCCTTTCGGGAATTGGTATTAAGCTTTAAAATATTGTTTATTCTTAATCCCATATTATTTGAATCAATCTTGGTATTCAGATTGTAATTATTGATCGTAACTTTCAGTAACAAAAAAGAAATACTATAACAGTAATTAACATTACCTAATATAAGCATCGTGAGGTATCAGCATTTTCTCCCTCGATGTAGTGGTACTGGCCGTAGTGTAGGCGCCGGCCCCCGTGAATGGGTCGGCGTGGGAGGGCGGCGGCAGGCCCGGGACTGAACCAGAGCCCGGCACGTAACGAGACTCGCCTGTAAACGGATCCGCGAAACTGGGAAAGGAAAAGGGAAATAGTTTTATTATTATAAAATGGAAGTATAGAAAGATTAACACTTCATGATTGTTTATTTTCGACTTAATATCTAGACATAAAAGTTTTGTATCATTTAATTCAGAGTAATCACAAACTGCTACTCTTTTTATTACTTAAAGATTAAGGAGTATGATCACAATGCTCAATGCAAATTCTTTGTTAAGTTTCCATCTTATTACCTGGCTTCTAATGACAATAGTTTGGAACTTACCCATTACTTGATACAGGTTGTGAATCCAATTTAGCGTTAGTGATAATAAAGTTCGCGACCTGCTCCAAATATACTTGAGGTAAATTGTTTCTGGAAAAATAATATATTATGTTTATAGTACAATTTTATAGAAGAATAAAAAAATTACAATCGCTTAACCCATAAATCCCCAAGCGGTCACCGGTGACCGCTTTCCACTAATATTACATTACATTATAGACCTTTTTTCTAATGTTTAGAGACTACTTTTGTATGACCAAATTTAGGGGGTGGATTTCAACGGGTTAATAGGCACAAAAATACAATTACTTGTGTATAAAGGCTTGAGCGGCAACCCAAGGGTCTTCAGTCTTGTTGAATGGAAGTTTTATTGGAGGCGCACCGTCCTTGATGTCCACGCTGAATACAAAGTCGTACTCCTGGTAAGTAGAAGTTTTATATGAAGTTGGAAATATACTAATAAAGCATTATACGAAGGCATCTCATTAATTAATCTTATATTAATATTATTATATTAGGCTGAAGAGTTTGTTTGTTTGTTTGTTTGAATGCGCTAATATCAGGAACAAGGGGTGATTTAAAAAAAATTGCATTGGATGAAACATTTATCGAGGAAGGCTATATCATCACAGACATCACGTTATGATCAATAGGAGCCGAGCAGAGCGGGTTAAACGGCGTGAAGGAACTAGTACTTAATAAAATTACTGTTCTGACACATTTTTATCAGCGCATTTTCCATACTAATGGTGCGTCTACATGTGAAGAATGCTCCGCTAACGAACATCACACCTCATGCAGTTGCAGTTCGTAGACAAAAACTATAAGTAAGATATTGTATGAGCCTTAATTTCTTATAAATCAATTATAAATCGGAAAGTGAGTTTATTTGTTTGTTCCGCTTTCACGCCGCACTACTAAACCGATTGCTTTGAATTTTTCCAGATGTACAGTTAGAAGTCTGGATTAAATAATAGGGTACTTTTTATCCCGGAAAAATTTGATATTCTCGAGGGAAAACGAAATTATTGGTATAGATGGCGCTGTGTGTATTGGTATATATGTCATATAAGCTACTTTTTATCCTGTTGTGACGCGAGCGAAGCCGCGGGTAAAAGCTAGTTCCTTATAAATCAATATGTTAAATGGTTGTATAAGTAGCCATATCAGGCCAAAAAGCAATATATTAAACAATATAATCTAAAACAAAAGTTTATCTTAACTCTGTTGGTTTTCTAAATAAAGAAATAAATAATATCACCTTCCCCTGGTACATAGTTTTCCCCTCGCTAGAAGGCGGTGTCCCCATGACGTCACCGATCTCGTTCCACGTACTCTCCGCAGCGCTCCACGAGTAACACTTGACGTTGGTGCCGCGACGGACTAGTTTCGTCTGTCCATCTGATTTGCCTGGCTCTAGGAGGACCTCTGGACCTGGTAATCTGAAAACAAATATTATATAATATCATGCATACAAATACATACGTTTTCTTTCTCCTATGAGGGTAGGCAGAGACTATGGAACGCCAATTGCTATGGTTCTTAATTCGTCGAGTACCGTCATTATAGACACAATTATAGAACAAAAGGTTGCGGTCACCGGTGACCGCTTGGTGTTTGACAGTTTAAATACCTATTTTATCTAACAATAATAAATGTGTATGTATTTTTAACTGACACACTTGCATATTTTATGGGACAGGTTGGCCCTGCAATATTAAATTAAAGCTTCCTCACTCAGATAATTTGAATCCTCCAATCTCCTGTTGAGTGGCTGCCTGCATCTTGGCGACGTCTTCCTCGAACTGCTTGAGTGTGGCTTCGTCCGCGTACCTCGCCGGGTCCTTTGTGAATACTCGTACTACACCATCACTGGAACCTGTTGGTTTAAAATAGAGTTATTTTACTTGTCAACCAAGTTAAACGAATGATTATTATTGCATTTTGGCAAATAATATTTTTAATGTGAAATGTAACTTTGTCATACTACCAAACCTTATTTATTTGCCAAATAAATGTTATGTAGGTATGAGAGGTTTAAGGTTTTCGATTTGAAATACTTACCACACTCAAATATTTTAATTATTTTTCTATATTCAAGTTATAGTACCTATCTAGAGCAATTAACAAATCTATACTAAGATAACCTTGTAATATTTACAATAATTTCTACATACCAGTAACAATATCTCCGTTGTCGAGACACGTGATGCTCCAGACGGATTGCACCGGCAGCCTGATGTCCCTGACGCAGTCCCCGCCGGCCCACAGCCGCACCGCGCCGTCCTCGCCACACGTCGCGAAACCTTGCTGCACCACTGGGTTCATGCTGATACTAGAAGATAAAACATGTGAAATTCAGCATCAGAAGTTACAAGGCTTTTGTTTAGTAGTCGACGTGAAATGGATTTTTTTTAAGTGGGAAAAATCATCGAATGCCTTGTCCCGCCTGGGTGAAGCGGGAGGGAGTGTCAGACTCTTACTGACTAAAACCCGCCCTTCGAGCTGGAGCCCCGGCAATCCGTAAGTCCTCCGCGGCTATGGGGCCCTATCCGTGGTGGTCTGATGGCTTTTTGAGGCACGCGCGGAACACGACGCGCCGTACGCTCGGGTCTGGTTCTGGTCGGGAGGCGAGTCACCCATTCTCGCCGTCCGCAGGCCCGTGCTTATGGTGGCCGGAGATCGTTTCGCGGACGTGAAATGGATAAGGGGAAGTTTTTGAACAGTCGTGTTTCGCAAGCAGGTTAAGGATTGTAGTTAGATCACCTAAAATTTTCCGTGTTTCTGTGGCTGATATTACATAAACCTTGCTATAAAAACATGGCTCATACGAAGGAGAAACCAACATTATTGACAAGGAAAGATTTGATTTCCAAGTCAAGTATTATTTGACTTCTCTGCAACATTTGGACTTTAACTCGTGTGTAAGTAATTCGACACCAAGGACATCGCCAGAGTTGCGGGGAGTCAGTGTATGCAAGTGGCGAGTTGTCTTTCGCCGTGGAGGACTAAGGGGGAGGCCTTTGTCCAGCAGTGGACGTCTTTCAGCTGTTGCTGATGATGATGATGTAAGTAATTCTTTACCTGTAGATATAGTTAGAATGTCCATAGAATGTGTTAAGGCACTGCCCCTTGTTAGTCCAGTGTTTGATGGATGCATCATTTGAACAGCTGAGGAAAGTTTCAGGGTTGGCTACTGCCAGATCTCTGACACAATCTGTGTGGCCTGGAAACATAAGATACACAAATCAGTATGTTTTAGTTATAAACTATAAATAATTGAAATATCTTATTATTCTAGTATTAGTTTGGTTTTTATATGGCAGTTATTTCACTGTCTACGAAATAGGACACGTCTGCTTGCCCATTTAGGGGATAAGATATGAGTAATTAATGTAAAAAGCACACATATGCTAATGTTTCAAGTATTAATCACGGCAGAATTTCTATCATACAAAAAACAAAACTAACTTTCATACATAGAATCATATTGTTCTACTGACCAGTCAAAGTGCTAATGATAGTTCCATCTTTCTTCCACAGCTTAATGGTTTTGTCAGCAGATGCTGTAGCGTATGTATCGTTGAACAGTTCCACGGCTGCCCACACGGCCGCCTGGTGACCTTTGAGGGAGAGTGGAGGCAAACGACTTGCATTTATGTTCCATACTTTCGCTGTACTGTCCCAACTTGAACTGTTAGAGGAGGAAGATATTCAAGTAATTTAAGAATGAATTAAAGGTGAAATAAATGATTAACAGGTAAAGACACCTCAACTTTTAATAATATTTTCAGATTCGTTATTTACTTATTAAGGATGATGATATGAGGCACTTAAATAGCACTATTATGAAGATGACCAATTAAAATAAAGTGAAACTAAATTAGTGAATAAAAGAAAAGAAGAAAACAAACTAAAAATATAACTAACTGCTAAAATGGGCCGATTTTTTCAATGCCAGATAAATTTTAACTTTGGAATATCTTTGAATATTTCATAATTGTTCCATACTATTATGAGGTGATCAGGATTCCACCAGGTAATTTGTTTGCTTGTTTGCCTCCTATTCCATAAAAAAAAAAAACTAATAAACTGTCAAAGGTCAATTTTATTCTACAGTTCAGAATTAACTGATGGTTGAAAAATCAGCCCTAAGTAGATAAATGTATCATAGTTTTCTGTGTGGCTCTTATTAGAATTCTTAAATCTTTATGGTACATGACAATTTATATTTTTAAAGATGAAAACCTAGGATATGATTCTAGATAAAAACAAAAAAGCTATTAAAAGCTTACTATCTTGTGGTAATTTAATGTTTCAATACAAATCAACTCTACCTGTGTAATGAAACAGAAATCTTATAAGCATTTAACTGTTGATTCTGGTTACATTACAAGTCTTGAAGAATATCTAATAAGAACTTTTACTATTGTAGCATCCTTAAACATATAATAATGTTGTATAATCAATATCACAGAGTGCAAATATCTCAAAGCACGCAACACAAAACATTAGACAGGGTAAAAAAGATTTATCTACTTGTCTATGAAAACAAAGGAAACTAACCTTAGCAAAATTCCAGAATCTCTCCCAGGTGTTACACTACACACAGCGTTTTCGTGACCTTCCAGTGTCACCTGGATCACGCCGTCCTGCAGGTTATACCCTAGTATTGTATTGTCATTGCTCCCCGTCACAACCAAACCGTCGGGATACGCTTCACAAGGAGGCAACCAGCACACACACGATACAAAATTCCTGTGCCCTTTATACGTCACTACGTTCACAAAGTCTTTAACTCTGAAACAGAAACCTTTTGTTATATCTAAATCATGTTCTAACAATGTAACGGCACTGAAATAAATACTTACCCTTCCGGATGCCAAAGCTTTGCGGTCCTGTCGCGTGAGGCAGATAATATACAAAATTCTTTTGTCGTAGCCACACATCGCACGTCCAGGGAGTGCCCGCATAAAACAGCACTTAATTTATAATCAGGAACAGCCATTGGAAAACGTATTTTATTTTCAAAATGCTGAGAAAAATCAGAAACAATCGCGGCGAACAAAAGTTGTCATGTCATGTCATGTTGACGTTGCTGTCAACAATCGTCTGTAACTGAGTTTTTTATTGTTGGCAGCAAAGGCATTTCAGTCAAATAATTCATCTAAATTAAAATAAATAAAATAAGTACTTTTATGTTTAAGTAAGTAAAAATTGCATTCAAATAATTATTTTGTTGTAGTATTTAAGCCTCTAAAATTAATTAATCTTATCATTTTGTTCTGTTTCTAAACGAAATACACAGTAACCGGTTTGCCAACATAACAAACATAAACAACATTATAAAACGCGGGTGTTTTGACTGAAAGCGTTATCTACGCTTCAAAAAGTGTAATAAATATTTATATTGATAAGATTTCAGAGATATAATGAAGATTTCTAAGCTATCATAAGTTCGTTATATTTTACGTATAAATTAGAATCGCATGTAAGGTATATATTTTTTGTAAATAATAAAAAATCGGAACATTGTGCAGTCCCTACATTTACGATTTTAAGAGGAGGACGGTGCGAGCCGCCGCACGGTTCGGACGTGTTTAACGAGCGCTTCGCCACTGCGCCGCGTCGCGACAAGGTCACGCGCCGCTAACGGCTAGCGGAATATTCCACTGTGTTTAAATACCACCGTGTTATTGTTTATTATTTATTGAACATTGCAAAATGTGATTTTTACCTAACATTAAGTGAATAATGAAAGCGACTCTTCAGCAATGGAGACGGACTTACTAGTTAATAGGGAAACTGTGAACTTAGAGCATGGTGTAACATGCGAAATAGTTAAAGAAATATCAACAAATGAAGACGGAACTTTTACCGTGCAGTGCAACCAGTGTAACTATAAAAATTATATAAAAAACTTTTTAGAATGGACAAATGGACAGACTAAAATAAAAACGGTGAAATGCAAAAATTGCACCAAAACTAGTGTAATAAAAATTTGTACATTTGTGAACCACCGTCACATGAATAGCAAATTTATACCGGACATTTATTATAAAATTTACTCGTGTGTAAACACGGTAGTAAGAAGTGTATTTCATAACTGTGTGGAATGTAAAAAACAAAGAAACATCAAAGCGATCCCTCAAACAGAGTTCACTGCTCAAGAGGAATACGTATGTAACTGCTTAAAAATAAATACAATTCAAATTAAACCGAGTGAACTTAACTTAAAACGTAAGAAACACTCGACAGAAAAACTAATTGAATTTCAAAAAACAACAAATGGTACCTACCTCTGTCAAAATCGGTTTGAGTTACTTCAGACCTATGAAAGTGATCCGAACCAGGAAACTAAAAGTGATATAGTGCCATCCCGCTCACACTCAGTGTCTTCGGTAAGCGATCAGCCACCAAGATCGCGAAGCCAATCACTAAAGCGCCCACATCCATACGAGGGAGAAGGTGAATCTCAAGCGAAAAAAGCTACAAGACGAACAGAAACACTTCGCAGTTCACGTAAAACTTTAGCTACTACTGAGAAAAATAAATCAACCAGCACACACGTCCCGCCAATACTGATCACGGACGAAAGATACAAATATAAAGATAATAAAGATACAAAAAAGATTCTTAGTGATCTACTCATGAGGGATCTGACAAAACTAATGAACAAACACCAAGGCCGTATCGTTAGAAATGAAAGAAGCAGAAATATTCTCATTACACTCACCGACTTAGACAAAAGAGCAAATGCTATCGAAGACATCAAATGCTACAAACCAGATCTCGTATTCATAGCACCAAAACCTAAGGCAGAACAAATAAAAACAACAAAAATAATCATAAGAAATATGGCACACGACTATCCAGTCGAAGACCAGAAAGACGAGATGGAAAAGTGCATTGGCATCCGCCCTCTTAACATGAAAAAGATAACAAGCGATGTACAACTATGTATATTCAGCGGCGATTTTTCATACAGCGAGATAGCTGAAAGAATGAAAAATGCAACAGAAACATTCTATTGTGCACATAAGTTAAGGCCTGAAAAATATAAAGTAGGGTCAGATAGAGTGTTACAATGCAAAAACTGTTTCAAATTTAACCACGCAACAAGCGCATGTCACGCACCAAAAAAAGATCCCACTATACTGATAAAAAATAATCAGAATGAATCGGTGAGAGTCTGCTCTAACTGCAATGACGTAAAGCCAGAGCAACACACTGCAACACAAAGAAAATGTCCACTATTTAAAAAGGCAATTGAGAGACAAAAGAAACAATCTGAGCGGAGGGAAGAGCAACGTACAAACGTTTCATCCACTCATAAGCCAACAACAACACAACAAGAAACAATTAGAAAATCGAGATCCCCAGTGCGTAGATCGAGAATCCAACAGGGTACATCATTCGCACAGGCAGTGGCCAGCAGACCGACTAGCAACAACGAAAAGGAACTAAGGCCATTACACAATAAAATAACCAGCGACGACAAATACGCTATATTCGATAAGACCATGGAAATGTTCATGACATTTATGAAGGAACTCAGAAATGTTCTACTTAACTAAGGGCTGTAAGAAACGTATAAAAATCCTGCACATTAACGTGCAAGGTATTAGAAAAAAGTTTATTGAAATAAAACAATTAATTAACAAATATCATGTGGACATTGTTGTTTTAAATGAAGCCAAAATTAGTTTGGCAAATTTAAAATTCAACATTCAAAATTACGATAAGATATACGATCAGAAAGCCAATCATCTGGGCACAATCATGTATATAAAAAAAGGTATGAGGTGGGCTCAAACCAAGCTCATCAGTTCCTTTAGTGACGATGAAAGAAACATAGAGGGATGCAGCATTAAAGTCTTTACCAATCACACAACCGGCGAATACATCACAGTGAAAGGTATCTACATTCCAATACCAAACCAAAATGAATTATCAGACGAATTCGAACAACTGCTAAGAGAAGAGAGTGCTTTCATAATCGGAGACATGAACATAAAAATGCGTTTGCTCGGCCGATCAAACGACAGAGGTCTCGGAATTTTATTACGTGACATACACAACAACGGAGACTGCAGAATCATACATTCCGGTCAGCCATCCAGACCCACAAGTATAGGCAATAATAACATTTTAGACATAGCAACTTTAACTTATGACCATATGGATCTAGATGTAAAATCATGCAAACAGATAGAATCCATAGGATCCGATCATATGCCGTGGATAACCACAATAAACTTGGAAAATGATTACGAGGTCCCACTCGGCCGCAACCTAAAAGATATTAAATCAAGTAAAGATATGCGAGACTGCTTCGAACAATCTCTAGCAACGAAAATTGACCCAAACACGAAAATCGAAACAGATACAGACTGTGATAAAATTATTACAAAACTAGAAAAAGCTATAGTAGCGACACTAGATGAATTTGCACCGCTCAAACCAATTAATAACAGAGAAAATCTTCCCCAAGACATCCAAAACTTGATAAAATGTCGAAACAAGGCAAAAAACACTGCATGGCGTTTAAGATTTACTAATCAATACGGCGAATTGAAACGACAATATAATAGATTAAAACGCCTCCTAGCTACGAAAATCATAAACCACAAAGAAGAAACCTGGAAAAAAATCCTAGAAAACAAAACAGACAATAGAAAGAAAATGTGGAGTATACAGAGAGCCATAAAAAAACCGCCTCAGAGACTACCCTACATAGAAAATTGCAACACAGAACTGGAGATCATAGATAATTTAGTACAAAGTGCCATTATTCGTACATCCAATATTTCTCGTGATGATGAAAATACGGAGAAATGCACACCATTTCAACCGTTAGAAGCAACATCACATGCTGAATTAAAAATAGCTTTAAGGAAATTCAAAAACCGAAAAGCGCCTGGCCCTGATGCAATAAGAGCGGATTTTCTAAAACTCGGTGGTGACACTGTGGTAGCAATATTTAAAAGAATAACGGACTATATTCTGAATACGGGTTACTTTCCTAAGCGATGGAAAGAAAGCACATGTATTTTTCTTCACAAACCAGGAAAAGACTACAAACAGCCTAAGTCTTACAGACCCATTAGCCTTCTTAATATTCTGGGAAAATGGGCCGAACGCATAATCCTCTCCAGATTAAACACAGAAATAAATGAACTGATTCCAGAACATCAACATGGATTCGTTCGTCATAGGGGTACAGCAACACAAATATTGAGAACTGGCAAATGTATCACAGACGCATTGGCGAAAGGCCACAGTGTAGCTATGATTTCAACAGACCTCAGTAAGGCATTCGATTCTATAAATCATAAAGGACTTATAAAGAAACTTTTTGAAGCTGGAGCCCGTAACAATATTATAAAGATTATAGAAAACTATCTATCCAATAGAACCACTAACGGCAGATTTAGAACAACCACAGGCACAGAAATAAATGTACCCTACGGAGTCCCACAAGGCTCGATTCTCGGGCCCGTGCTTTTTAATCTGTACGTCTCTGACATACCGAAGCAACGAATCGCAGGTTTAATGCTTTCCCAATATGCAGATGACTTATGCATTTTAAACGTAGCGAAGAAACCAGATCACGCCACTAGACGCGCAGAATGGGCAGCGGAGGATGTCATCGACTATTATAAAAAATGGGGCCTCCAATGCAATGTGGAAAAAACGGAGTGTATAATGTTTACTCATAAGAGACCTAGGCAAGGGAATAGCGGATACAGAAATTACATTCAATTGAAAAACGAAAGGATTGAATACAAAGACGAAGTGAAATACCTTGGCGTCATATTCGACAAGAGGCTATCAATGAACAAACACACTAAAGATAGAGTAGAAAAATTGAAACGAATCAGAGGTGCCCTAAACTCGATCATAGGATACCGATCGAAGGTACACACCGAAACAAAGTTACTCATCATACAGGCGTGCCTGCTGCCGGTACTCGATTATGGAGTCATCCAACTGCTACCGAGATACAGTAAAAGCAACCTGATAAAACTAGAAAGACAGTACAGGATGGCACTGAAAGCTGCAGGTAACTTTCCACGTCGCCTCGAAACCAAAACACTTTGGGAAATGCTTGGACAGGACCCGTGGCATCTCAGAGCACACGACCTACACCACGATATGATAGAAAAACTCGAATCACTATCAATCGGAGGCCTAGAAGACCCTGGCGATGCTTACACGAGATATGGCCAATTTAACCCATTCCTCTTGGCTAACAGAATAGGCGAAATAGACTACCTAAATAAAACAGAGAGAAGCAAACCACTTCACAAGAGGACGGCTCCTCCCCGTCAGCATAAACTATAACTCTCAGAGTCATTCTTAAATCATCTTATATTTTATTATTATTTATTAAATACTAAGTAACCCCTGGTCGAGGACCAAATGGGCGGTGATAATAGGTTAAACCCAGTACTTCTCATAATTGCTATGTATAAAATTGTGTGAAAAGAATTCGGCAATAGGCTACAAAAGATCCCTCCCCGGACAAAATGTACCAAAAATACATACCAAATGCACTTGTAAAAATTCTATTTTTAAGTGATGATGTAATAGTATATTTATTTAACTAGAGAAATAAACGTTATTCTATTCTATTCTATTCTATTCTACATTTACGATTTTAATACAACAAAATAAATACGTCTAAATAATGATTGTATTTATGTATTAGTAAAAAAGGTATTAGGTTTTCGTTTGACAATATAGCTACCCGGTTTGTATCATTACTTTCTCGGCAGCGGCGCCAGTGTGATCGCACCGGTGTCGGTGTTACTATAGACTATACATACCTACAGTATTGTACATACGTAGTGTAAAGATGGCGTCGACGGTGTGTGTTTCTCGATGCCGACTGTTAGCTAAATTAGAAATAAATCGTGGTTTGTGTTTATCACCGATATTTAGGGATTTGTCGAATAGCAGGGTAAGTCTTTAATGTTTTTCTTATATTTAATCACGTATATTGTTAGTGTTTCATTTAAAATTGACGATTCAGAGACCGATTTTTGTATGCACGTGCATATCTATTCTATAGTTATGTAGATAGCAGCTGTCAAACGTCAAAAAATTTGTGTTTATTTTAATTTATGGTTATCATTTTTCTATTGATAACCGTAAAAGGTGTATTTTTTTAGTT